CCCCGCGTCTGTTTTTCCACTGCACAATGGGGGCTTGGGGACTGGAAACGGTTTACCGCTCTGCCCAGCAGAGCAGCCACTGGCGTGTGCGGCTAGCTATCATGAGCTGGAATGAAAGGAACATTTAAAATTCAGTTGGCTGTTTTGGTCGGCGGGGGCTGCCGTATCGAAGTACCAGACGTGACAGGGCTTAAACCACAGACGTTTATTTGTTCTGCCGCAGTTTGGGAGGCTGAAGTCTGAGGCCAAGATGCCAGCAGGGCTGGTTCATTCTGAGGCCACGAGGGAGGATCTGTTCCTAGATTCTGGTGTTTGCTGGCAATCTTTGGTGTTCCTGGGCTTGCTGATGCATCACCCTCATCTCTGCATGCATGTAACATGGCATTCCCCTTGTGTGCATGTCTGTGTCCTAATTTCCCCATTTTCAGAAGGACGACCAGTCATATTGGATTAGGGTCACCCTTGTCCTGTATGACTTCACCTTACCTCATTACATCTGCGATGACCCTGTTTTCCAAGTAAGGCCACATTTGGAGGTCCTAACCTGGGTGTTAGGACTTCAACACATACATTCAACCCATAGCAGTCACGCTATTACGTTTTAAGCGCTCAATAGTGGCTCATGGGAACGGTGTTGGACACTGTCAAGGTAGAATGTTTTCATCATCACGGGAAGTTCTGTCAGACATGGCCAGAAAGAGGGTCCAGCCTGTATCTGGGAACACAATAAGCTGGAGTAGGTTTTACATTTCCCTGATGCTGGTTCTGGGTGTGTTTATCTGGGTCAGCAGTAGGCAGTGTGGGGGCTTGGTGGAATTTGGGATGAGTGGAACTCACCCCCAAAACTCTCAGCCTGTGTTCTTGGCCTGTGCTGAGCTGGTTTAGCTGCCCCATCTGCCCTGTCTACCTTTTGGGTCTCAGCTTTAGCATCACCTCCTCCAGGAAGCCTCTTCTGATCTCCCCCTCACCACCCCCTATCCCCAGGCCTCCTCTGGACTCCCACAGCTGCTTGTGAGTCCCATTGTAGCGCCAATCGCACCGGGTCACCCATCTGTCTCTTCCCCTGGACCGCAAGCTGTGACAATGAGATCTTGGTGGTGTCCGGGGCCTGGGAGCATGCAGATGCTCAGTGACCTGGAGCTTTGGAAGCACTGGATCAGCAGCACGCCTTCCACTGAGCCTCGGGAACCTCCCCCACTCCTCCTTCCCTACCCCAGCCTCTCTCTAACAGGGGCAGAATTGTCCCCAGAATCCTTATCTTCTGCTGGTTAGATGTCTCAGGTGTCCGCAACCCATTGTCATTCTCCAGCTCTGCTGAACACCCTGGGCTCAGCTTCTTCAGCTGTCAAATGAGGACACTGATGGCCTCTGCCTTCCTGGGATGTTGCTAACTTGAAACATAATAAGACCCTGGAACTATCATGTGTATGCTTTTAAATGAATAATAATAACAATGCCTTATTTATCACTCAGTGCCTAGGGTTGTGTAATCACTTTTGCTTTAACTCATGCAATCCTCACAAAACCTCTCCATTAACTCCATTTTATAGATGAGAAACTGAGGCCCAGAGAGGTTAGGTAACTTATTCAAGGTCACACAGCTGGAAGGCAGTAGAGCTGGGATTCAAAACCAGGCAAGTGGCTTTTTGATCTGCCTCTTGAATGAATGAATGAATGAATGAATACCAATTCCTTTCCTCCTTGGAAAACTCAAAAGCCATTTCATTCTTTGAAGGAGGACTAGTTGAACCTCCATATTTTAGACAGAAAAACAAAAGCTCAGGAGAGCAGGCAGCATGGGCAGCTCTAGGCAGCCATGTTCAGGCCCCTATCTTTTTGTTTTGTTTTGTTTTGTTAATCCTCACCCAAGGATTTTTTTTTTCATTGATTTCTTTTTTCCTTTAGAAAGAGTGGAAGGGAATGAGAGGGAGAAAGATAAACGTCTATATGAGAGAGACGCATCAACACATTGGTTGGTTGCCTCCATCATGCACCTAGACTGGGGCTGGAGATCGAACCTACAACCCAGATACATGTCCTTGACAGGGAATTGAACCTGTGACCTTACAGTGTGTAAGCTGGCACTCTAACCACTAAGCAACACTGGCTAGGGCCAGGCCCCTATCTTGACCTGTCTCTGGATGAATGTGTGTGTGTGTGTGTGTGTGTGTGTGTGTGTGTGTGATATATGTTCCTATCCTGGCCTGGAAGATTGGGGGTGCAGGTGAAAGAAGCAGGTAATAAACATTTGGTGCTGTGGGCCTGAATGACTTCTTGTCTCTTTCCCTGCGCTGCCAGGGCACTCCTGACTCCTCAGGCCTAGGACCTCCCTGGAGAGGCCTGCAGAATGGCTGGAAGAAAGGGAAGAAGAATGGCTAGGAAGGCTTGGCTGGTGTGTTGGAGCTTTCACTACTCACTCATTCACTTGTGTTAGGCTCTATTCTGGGCACTGAGGCTCCAGATATAAACAATCTGGTTTCTGCCTTCATCAAGGTCCCACCCTGGAGGAGGTGGCAATATTGAGCTAAGAAATGCCCAAGGACATCTCTCTGAGGAGCTAGCCATGCAGAAAAGTGGCAGAGCAGATGCATAGCCATGGGGCTGCACAAGCGGGTGTATTTTTATAATAGCAACCCTTACTGAGAGTTTCATGTGTGCCTTCCTCCTTCTGAGTCAGTTCATGTGCGTTATCTGATCAACTTCTTACACACCTCTTCGGCGAGTGGAAGAGTATTTTATTATTTCTTATATTTCTTTTTTTTTTTTTTGAGCTTTAAGATTTTTTTCTTTTTTTCTTTTAAAAAATATATTTTATTGATTTTGTACAGAGAGGAAGGGAGATAGAGAGTTAGAAACATCGATGAGAGAGAGTCATCGATCAGCTGCCTCTTGCACACCCCTACTGGGGATATGCCCGCAACCAAGGTACATGCCCTTGACCGGAATCGAACCCAGGTCCCTTCAGTCCCCAAGCCGACACTCTATCCATTGAGCCAAACTGGCCTCGGCAAGATTTTTTTTCTTCAACAGTCTGGTCCCTGATGGGGCCTCTCCACCTGCCCTCCCCAGCTCGGCTACAGTTCTGAACATCGCTCGATTTTGAGCAGCTCCACCTCGAACAAACACTAGGGTCACACCACCTGGGATCTTTGGAGGAGCACCCCGCTCTCCATACCCCAGCTCCGATGGGATCACCAGCTTCCGCTTCTCCCCCTCACACATCCCCAGCAGCCCCTGGTCCCAGCCCTTGATGACCTGGCCCATGCCCAGGGAGAAGACAAAGGGCTGGTTCTTTGGCAGGCTGCTGTCAAACTCCGTCCCATCTTCCAGCTTCCCCGTGTAGTGCATGTGCAGGACGCCCCCCTTGCGCGATTTGATGGGACAGTGGTCTACCCACTTCTTGACCCCGATCTGCAGTTTCCGCTTGCCCTCGGCCCCTGCAGCTATGGCCAGGGCACTCCTCACCGCGCTCCCGGAGTCAACTCATCGTGCCGCCGCCTCTGTTTTTCTTATATTTCTTATATATGAGGAAACTGAGGTTCAGATAGGTGGTGACTTGCCCAAGGTTACACAGATGGGAAGTGGAGGCGCTGGGACTTAAACCCAATGCTATTAATCAACTCAAATGCCACCATATCAGAGCCTGGGATATCAACATCTTGTGGGCCAGGGCTGTTGTATTCTTCACCCTGCGACCTCAGTCTTTCCATCTGTACAAGGGGGTGTGAGTTACTCATGCTTCTCAAGACGGGGGGTTCTTAGGGTGACCAGATTAGAAAATATAAACTTGAGCTGAAACTGGTTTGGCTCAGTGGTAGAGCGTCGGTCTGCGGACTGAAAGGTCCCGGGTTACAAACTTGAGACACACAGTTAAATTTCAGTTTCTGGTGAATAATTTTTTACTATTAAGGTGACCAGACGTCCCGCTTTTGGCAGGACAGTCCCGATTTTTAACAATTTGTCCTGCATCCCACGGCGTTTTAAAAAGTATCGCGATGCCCAAACCGGTTTGGCTCAGAGGATAGAGCGTTGGTCTGTGGACTCAAGGGTCCCAGGTTCGATTCTGGTCAAGGGCATGTACAATACTTTGGTTGTGGGCACATCCCCAGTAGGGGGTGTGCAAGAGGCAGCTGGTCGATGTTTCTAGCTCTCTATCTCTCTCCCTTCCTCTCTGTAAAAAATCAATAAAATATATATTAAAAAAAATAGAGACAAATTTAAAAAAATGTCGTGAGTTTTTAAAAATGCCCGGGATGCGGGACAAATTGTTAAAATTCGGGGCTGTCCCGCCAAAAGCGGGATGTCTGGTAACCTTACTATGATTATGACCCCAAAATGAATAAGCATGTCACCAATCTCTGCAAGAACTTCAGGTTCCAGACTACAAGTCCCATAATCCATTACGTCATCCCTTTAGGAACCTTCTATGATTTCTACATTCATTCATCCAAAAATTATATAGTTCACCCATTGTGTGCGAGGCTTTCTATTAGGTTCCGGGGGTACACCAATGCACAAAGAAGACTAAAGTCTTCGCCCTCATCGAAGTTTAACATCTATACTCCTTGGAAGTTTTAAGTGATTTTTTTCAGACTTCTGCAAGGAAGACTACACCTTCAATGATCCCCTGTGCTTGCTCTATGAAACTACAACTCCCAGGAGACCTAGCGCAACAAGCAGGCCCCTCCCTACATTACCCACTTTTTTTTTTTTTTTTTTTTTTTGGCTCGGTTCAAGGTCAAGTTCTACATCCGCAGTCACTTCCCCCTCCTCCCACAGCAAGGACAGGGTTTAAACAAATTCCACTTCAAATAGTTCTTTTTTTTAAGTCTCCGTATTTTCTGACTTGGAGTTTAAGTGAAACTTGAGCAGTTTTAGCCACACAGCCCACCACAGCTAGCCTTCTGGAGTAAAAAAGTGGGCCTACAACTCCCAGGCGGCTTCGCGCGCGCCGTGAGAAGTACGCCTCCCAGGAGGCAGCGCGGCGGGCGCGGGGCGGTCCGCGGCAGTGCCCGCAGGACCCCGGGGCGGGCCCGGGCTGCCCGGCGCCGCGTCCGCAGGACCCCGGCGGCTACCCATGTTGAGGTGAGTCTGCGGGAGCCGCCGCCGCCGCCACCGCCGCTGCCACCACTGCCGCCGCCGCTGTCCCGTCCAAGCCGCCGCTCTGCGCGGCTCCCCCGCCGGCCAGGATGCTGGAGGAAGCGGGCGAGGTGCTGGAGAACATGCTGAAGGCGTCGTGCCTGCCGCTCGGCTTCATCGTCTTCCTGCCCGCCGTGTTGCTGCTGGTGGCGCCGCCGCTGCCCGCCGCCGACGCGGCGCACGAGTTCACCGTCTACCGCATGCAGCAGTACGACCTGCAAGGGCAGCCCTACGGTGCGTGGATCCCGGCCTCCCTCCTGGCCTCCCCGGGTCCCCGCCTCCCCTCCGCCCCACTCCACGGCCCCTGGTTCAGCCGACCTCCTCTCGGCCTTCCCCGAGCCCAGGCTCCCCGAGCTGAGATGCCCCCTTCGCTCAAACCGGGTCTCTGCTTCCCGGGCCCTAGGACCCTCCTCCCCGGCCTGTCCTGCTGCCAGACCCTCGCCTAGCCCCATGTGAGTCAGAGCATGGGTGCCTGGATCTCCGCTAGGCCCCCAGCTCTCCGCCCAGTGCCCCAGGAATCCCCCGCGCTGGCTCCCGCATCTTCCCGGGGTCCCCTCGCCACTTCGCGGCTGGGCCAGCGTTGCGATGCCCAGGGTGTCCCTCCCTGGGCCACCACCGCGTGCCATCCTCTGCTCTGCTCCCAGAGCTTCACCCTCTGGCCTGGTGAGTTTGGAGGTGAGCCACCTCGCTTAGGGTCTGTGCCAGCAGAGCCGCCCCATGTGCCGCTCCAAGCAGCCCCTGCTTTCCACAGCCCCTGGGTACCTCGGTGTTCACATTCTGTTCCCCTCAGGACTCCAGAGCACAGGTCACCAACCCTAACCCTAACCTTAGCCCTAACCAAGGCCTGGCCCCCTGTCAGGGCCCATTTCTCTCCAGGCTCTGAGCTCTTCGAGGTCCCAGCTCATGAGCCAGATTCCTCAGAATTCCTTAGCCACACTCCGCTCCCCCTGTTTTGGCCCCAGGCCTTAGGTTCCTGAGGATCCCTGGACCCCATGTCTTGACCTTTCCTTTGGTGTTTATACCCCTCTTCCTCACTCCCAGTTTCCAGGAACTCCAGGATTTCTGTACTGTCCGGGCCTGGATCCTGCACAACTCCTTGGTCCCCCATTCCTGATTCTTCACCTGCTTGTGGTGGTCCTCACCCAAGCACCCAAGTTATCCTAAATTCCCTGATCTCTTTCCAACCACATGTCTGTATCTGTGGTTCCAGAACCTTCTGGCCTCTGGTTTCTCTTCCAGCCTGGTGCTTTAGGTCCCTTCTAGTCAAAGCCTGACTTCCTGATAAACGAGCCTCCCTCTCCAATTCTCTTGGTCCTCTCTCCTCTTGGACCACCTCAGGCCCAACCTGAGACCCCCTGAGGCCCCAAACCTTTGGAGGGGAAGTCCAGACTTCCCCTCAGTGCCCTAGCCACAGAGTTATGCTCTTTCTGTTCAGAGCAGTGGTTGTCACCAGGGTTCATTGGGTGATGACTTTATGATTGTCATACTGGGGGTGCTTTGAGTGGGTGGGGGCCAGGTGTCCTGCTTATCATCTCACAATGCCCAGGACGGCCCCACCCAGAGGAAGATCTGGCCCCAGGGCTGAGGGGAGAAACTTGGGGTTTCAGTGATGGTCCCGAGCCCGAGGCCTGGGCTCTGGAGGAGTAGGGGTGGGGCTAGGAGCGCTAATGGTGTGGGCACGTTTCTGTGTATTGACCTCCTGGAGGAAGGGTCTTGGCCAGTCTGCACAGTGGACCTTTTGTGATGGTGGATGGCTTCGGTGTTTTCACTCATATGGGAGCCACCAGCCCCAGGTGGCCACTGGGCAATTGAGATGTGGTTCATGCCATAGAAGGAGATTTTTTTTTTTAATTTCTTTATTGATTAAGGTATCACATATTTGTCTTCATCCCCCCTTCCCACCCCCCACCCCTCCCCACGCATGCCCCTACCTCCTTGTTGTCTTTGACCACTGCTTAGGCTTATATGTATGCACATGAATCCTTTGGTTGATCTCTCCCTTTTATAGAAGGAGATTTTTAGTGTTATTTAATTGTGATAAAGTCACATAATCACGTGTGACGGGTGGCTGCCATCCTGGTCGAGAGTTTTCATTGGTTTCCTGCAGGAATCCACAATCCAGAAGGCCCAGATCCTAAAACTCAATATAACCAATTTCTCCAGACCCTGAGTCTCAGTTCCTTCGGCTCACACCTGTCATTCTGCCCAACCCAAACGACTCACACTCAGAAGCCTTGCCAAGAGCCTCCTGTCCTCTCCCTCCCAACACACCCAGCTTCTCTCTCTGGACAGCTGTAATCTCACAGCCTGTACACCCCCAGCCCTGTCAGCACTGCCCTGCTTGCACCTGATGTGGCCTCCTTTCCCCCCTCCAAACCCACCCAGGAAGTGCTGGCTGACTTTGTGGAGCAAACAGGTGCCAAGGCACCATCTTTCGGAATGCAGAGCCATGCTCTCCATCTCCCTCCATTGCAGATCCTACGTAACCTCTCTCCCGGCCTCCTCTCCTTCCCTTAGTTGTTTTTTTTTCCGTTTTTTTTCCCCCTTCCCCTTTTCCCTCCATTTTCTAAGTCCTTTGCTCCTGACACTGGCATTCCCTCCCATTCTTTTTTTTTTTTTTTTTTTTTTTTTTTTATACTTGGTATCTCCCTCCACATTCCCCCTTTCTTGGCCCCCATCTTTGTTGCTCCTAGTGAGAAACACAGACACCTCTTGCTTGCCCTCTATGAGGCATTTTTAGAAAGTCTGACTTCCAGGGGTGATCGGAGGGGGCCTGGTGGGGCACCCACCCATTTTAGCCAAGTGCTGCTTATCTGCAGAGGAGGGAGACAGAGGTCTGGCTTGAGAAATCTGAATGAGGCTCTGCCAGTGGGGCTTGCATGTCCACACCCCCACACACCCTGCAATATTCCTGGCTCAGATATTGGGCAGACCTGGGGAGGAGCTGGTGGGATAGTTGGTGGAGGGGAGGCTCCTCAGGGGTCTGAGGTATTGCTGCTTATTGTTCAGCAACAGCAGCAGCAGGATTGGTGTGGCCGGAAGAAGCCCTGAGTCTCTCCCTGCCAGTGGTGCCTTTGAGAACTGGAGGGCTAGGTCACTGCTGATTGCAGTCTCCCCGGTGTCTTTCACGCCCTCTCCTAGAGTGCACGCCCCAGCTCCCCAACTCTGGTGCAATCCCGGCTCAGAGTGGCTCATTTCCCAACTTCCTGTTCGCTCCTCTTAAGAAACAGGGCTGGGCAGCTGCCCAGGAAGGAAAGGCGAGTGCTCTTGGTGCTGCTGCTGGGAATAGTACTGAGGGAAATACACCAGGAACAGGGCCGCAGGTGTGGCCTCCCCCCACCAGGTGGACTCTGGCCTTTCTGAGGTGGCTGCTGCTTTAACAGCACTTGTTTGGTGCTGGTGCACTGTGGCTCCACAGGCCCTAGGAGGTGAGGGTGTTAGTACCCCAGCACCATGCTGGGCAGACTTGCCAGGACTTCTTTACCTAGGATTGGCCCTTTAGCCATTGTTATAAATAAAGTTTTATTGGCACACAGCCACATCCACTAGTTGATGTGTTTCTGACAGCAGAACTGAATAGTCATGACAGAGCTGGTATGGCCCACCCAGGCAAGAGAGTTGATCCTTTGGTCCTCGATAGAAAAATTTGCAGGCTCCATAGTGGGAACCAGTAACATCTGTCTAGGTGTCCAGTGCCCTGTACCAGGCCTGAGCCTCTGCCGGTCTAGAGCAGGGATGTAGGAGGCTGTGCTGGCTTTAACTTCATATCAGTAAAGATGGTCTCTGCCCTTGGGGTGCTCAGAGTCTGGGGGACAGTCCCTGGCCTTCCTCTTATCCCCCTCCTTCCTTCTCTGGCCTTGCTTCCTCCCTCTGGAAATTGGGGTCCTGACTCCTGCCCTGTAGGAGTACCAGGCCCAGGGAGAAGATGCACACAGAAGGCTCTACAGGCTGCCCTTTATGTCCCCACCCCTGGGGTGACATTTGAGCCACCTCTGGGAGCCCGAGGGCCCAAAACAGGTGGGGCATGGAGGAGGGGCCTTCTGAGCATTCCAAGACTTTCAAGGGCATCTTGAAGGTCTTTGCTCCCCCCCCCCCCCCCCCCGCTTAAAGCAGAGAGAAGTTCCCCGGAGGATTGGGGTGGAGGCAGGGTACCCTGGCCCAGGGCATATGGCCCACCTTTACTCCTTGGTCGAATTTTATCCCCCTGCCAGAGATGGCCCTCCCTGTTCCCACCCGAGATGCTACCTCTCCTGTGTCCTCGGCCTTCTCTCCCCACCATCCTCTTAGGGCACGCCATTGGAAGCAAACCTTCTGTCCGCTTGCTCACTTTCCCAAAGAGCTCATTCCTGGAAAGCAGAGGCAGGGATCGAGGCTCCTGGCCCCGAGCCTGGGCTCGGTGTAGCCTAGCATAGGTCTGCATCTGTGCGTGCATGGATGGCGCCTCCCCTGAGCTGCTTCCACCTCCAGCATGGCTGAGGGCTGCCCCCCTGGGGGTGCCAGATCCCTTCTCCGTGTCCTCTGCTCACCGTGTGGGTCTCAAACTGGAGGCTCTGGGGGGCTCCATCCAGCCCCCCTGTGGTTAGGGTTTATTTGCTTGCTTCAGCCTGAGTCAGCCTGCAGCATGTGAAATGTTCTGGACTCCTTGCTTGCCTTTACAATTGGGGTGATTTGATATAAGAGTTGGGATTTCTGGCAGCATGTAAATGGCTCTGACACTGGGGGGCTGACTGAGCCCCCTTACCCAGCATTCCATTGCTCCCTTGCCCGGCTGGTGTGGCTCAGTTGGTTGAGCATTGTCCTGTGTACCAAAGGATTGCCAGTTCGATCCCTGATCGGGCACATACAGAGGGCAGCCAATTGATGTTTCTCTCTCTCTCCCTTCCTCTCTCAGCATGCCCTGGAGAGAGGATTTAAAAAGAGAAAAGATGGCCCCCAAGGGCCTGCCACTACTTCTGTGTACCTGTGGGGAGCTATGTAGACGTTATTGCCCCCTCCACAGTCCAGCATTTAACCTCAAAAGGGCTTCTTTGAGACGCCTTCCTCCAGAACTTCCAGGACACAGTGCTAACATGCTGTGCGCCCAGGGGCTGCCTTAGGAAAGCTCTCTGCGACCTCCTGGTTCTGACTGCCACTCTGATGGGGTGCGGGTTCAGCTGCCCATGGGAAGCTTGTGGGTGGCCAGGGTCCAGGCCAAGACTCGGCCTCTCCCTTCTTCCCTGAGTCCCTGGATCTTTCTTGAGCTCTTAGAAGAGAAGCAGAATATGGCGATTGAATGTACTAGTGGAGCAGATAGAAGTTTCTACCTGGGGCGACACTTGGAGATGTCTGGGAACATCCATTGGTTGTCACAACTGGGGGTGCTCCTGGCATCCAGTAGGTGGAGGAGGGGATGCTGCTCAACTCCCCACAGAGAACAACCCAACCCTAGTATCTACTTTGCTGAGTGGGAGAGACCCTGGCATTTCTGGAACTTTCTGAGGGTCACTGGGGGACTTAGTGTTTGTTCATTTGTTCTCCTGGCTGATGTTTATCAAGAATCTGTTGGGACAGCCCTAGCTTGTTTGGCTTAGTGGACAGAGCGTTGTCCTGCAGACTGAAGGGTCCCAGGTTCGAGTCTGGTCAGGGCACATGCTTGGGTTTCGGGCTCGATCCCCAGTAGGAGGTGTGCAGGAGGCAGCCAATCAATGATCCTCTCTCATCATTGATGTTTTATCTCTCTCTCTCCCTCTCCCTTCCTCTCTGAAATCAATAAAAATAGAAAAACAATAACACATGAATCTGTCAGTACGTACTAGTATGTGGCTGTGCTGGTGTTACTTTGCAGTGAATGAGGTCTCTGATCCCTGAATCCCAGTTTATATGAGGAATAGGTAGCCATAAACCTGCTGGGGCCCACCTAGAGGACTAACAATCAAGGCGATGTTAGAGCCCAGGAGGGAAGGGGGTGCTGGCAGGAGGGGGCCACCCGGCTCAGGGTAGCCAGGCCCGGAGTTTGGGTTTGCCCCAGGATTCTGGGAGTTGGGGGAGGGCGGGCCTGCAGATTTGTCCAGGGGGGAAAGTCTCAGCTTTCATTCGGTTCTCAAAAGGCCCTCCTGCAACTCTCCAGGGTTCACGTGGGCACTGCATTCAATGCAGTGGGGTGCTGGCCATGGCAGACATGTATTGGGGCATGTGGGCAGAGGGCTGGGGGGACTCTGGGGTTACTGAGTCGGTGTTCTCTGGGCAAGGCCTTGGACCCTGCTGAGGGAGCACCCACCCTTTGGCTCCCCCATAGGCACACGGAATGCAGTGCTCAACACGGAGGCGCGGACCATCGATGCAGACGTGTTGAGTCGCCGCTGCGTGCTCATGCGGTTGCTAGACTTCTCCTATGAGCAGTACCAGAAGGCTCTGCGGCAGTTGGCCGGTGCCGTGGTCATCATCCTGCCACGGGCCATGGCTGCCGTGCCCCAGGACGTCATTCGGGTGAGCCCCCGTTCCCCACCTTCTGTGCAGGCCAGGGTCCAGGAGCTCCTGTGGGCCAGGGGGCCCTGGGTTTGGAGTCAGCTGTGTGGCAAACCATTTCCCTGAGCCCTGGAGCCTTTGTCCTTCAGGAAGTGGATGGCACCTGATCCCCTTCACCATTGGCCCTATCCCCTGGAGTGACTCTGCAGGGGACACTGGGTAATGTTGGGACATCTGTGGTTGCCACAACTGGGGGTGCTTTTGGCATCAGGTGGGTGTCACCGGGGTGCTGTTCAACACCCCACAGAGAGTGACCTGGACTTGATGTCAGCAGTGCTGAGGGGCAGAGGTCTGCTTTGAATGAACAGGGTCTGATAGGATCCCCCAAGATTCTGCGATAAAGATGCTTTGCACGTGAGAAGGGGGTGTGGGGCAGTGGGGATTGGGTAGGGTCAGCAGTCCACATTTTCCAAAAGCCAGATCAGTGCCAGGCATGCAGTTTATGCCCACTGTCCATCTGGGGCCCTGCTGTCAGCTTAGGAAGCCAGCACCCATTGTCCACTTATTGCGAAGGATGTGATGGCCCACGTGTGTGAGGGTAGAACGGCTCCATTGCCTGTTCTCCCAGCCCACTTCCTCCCTGCTGGGTACCATCCAGGGGGCCCCTGGGCACCGCCCCACCTCACCTGTTCCTCCGTCTTCGTTGCACTTCCTGTCTCCTTCTTGCCCCTTCCTCTTTGGCGCAATCCTAGCCTTGTTAGCTGCCCAGAGGAAGCATTCTTTCAGGCCCTGGCCTGTCTGCCCTCCAGGGACAGCATTGGGCACCCCCCAGGCCATAAGTCACCTAACCGTGTGTCTCTTTCACAGCAATTCATGGAGATTGAGCCTGAGATGCTGGCCATGGAGACTATTGTTCCTGTGTACTTTGCTGTGGAAGATGAGGCCCTGCTCTCCATCTATGAGCAGACTCAGGCTGCCTCTGCCTCCCAGGGCTCCGCCTCTGCTGCCGAAGGTGTGTGGGGCTGCAGGAGCCCAGTGGGTTCATGGGGAGCCTTCCCTGTGGAGGTCCAGGGTCACATGGTGCCACTTCTGAAACCCTTAACACATCACCCATACTTAACAGTGCAAGTTACCAGGCCCTGCCCCAGACCTGCTGTGTCACAGTCCCTGGGCTGGGGGCCAGGACTCTGCATTTTATAGCCCCACCTTATGCCACCACTGATTTTCAGGCAGACAAAAGCTTTGGAGGGAGGTGTTTCCTGTCTTCAGCCTCTGGATGTTTATGGGAAACATGGCATCTATTCAGTTTTCTCTGTCCTTCCTGCTGAGTACATCAGGGTGGGTCAGCAGCGTTCCTGGGAGGAGGAGGAAACCTGCCTCCTATCCCATGGACCGGGGATGCTGTGGTGAGCTGGGAGCAGGAGGGAGATAGCAGAATTAGTCAAAGAAATGCAGCTGAAAGGAGCCACCTGACCCTCTGTTCTCACCTATTGAAACAGCAGGTGCAACAGGAGAAGAATACCCAGAACTGACAGGCGTGGGCAAGGCAGGAGGGCCTGTCCACACTGGGAGACTTGGCCCCGCTCCTGGGGAACAGTCTGGCAGTGTGTGGTTACGTTGTAAAAGGTTTGCTCTCCTGGCCAGAGATGAGCTGCATGGGATGCTAGATTGGGGGTTGACAAGCCACAGCTTTTAGCTGTCAGTGTAAAGAAAGCTTGATTGCCACTCTGCTGTGTCCATTTGTTCATGTGTGGTGGCTTTCACGGCAGCACAGTTGAATGGCTGTGGCAGAGAGAGCAGAAAATATTGCCTCTCTGGCTCTATAGGAAAAGGTTGTCAGCCCCTGGTTTGGATCAAAGTCTTGAAAGTATCTGTCTGCATTGTGGCAGCAGAAGAGTGGGTTTTTGGGAAGACCTAAATTTCCAGTCAGAGCAGAAGAGGGGAGGAATCCTCTACTTGTGGAATATTATGCATCCATTAAAATGACATCAAGGTAGAATTTTTGCAGCATGCCAAAATGCTTATTTAAACGGTGAGTGGGAAACATCCACAGTGGTTCCTTTGCTCACAGTGAGCAAGGTGGCACTGCCTTGTGTCTGGTCGTGAGCAAGCGAGTTCCAAAGCTTTGGAAACTTAGGCTGTTTGGGCCTTTGGTGATGGGCTGGTGGATCATAGGCCATCCGATAGGAGACTCCTGTTTCTGAATCACCTCTAGGATGACCATCTTCATGGGTGCTGAGTTGGTCCTTGGAAGGCTGGGTCAGGGGACATGAACATGCCTCTGTAAATTTGGAATGAAGTCCCAGGGTATTGTAGGGTGAGGGCACCCTGCCTGCTTGGGGTTGGGGTGACTGTTTCACCAGCTCTTATCTTGGACACCCAGGCTCTTTTCCATGTCCAGTCATCCCCTTGCTTTCTAGTTCATGTGGTCAGTTTTGCATATAGCTCTTTGCATAGACCATCTAGGGTCCAGGGTGTTGGGGTGATGAGGATGCTGGCTGTGGTCAGGGAACCCTTGGATTGATCCCTCACTGCTCCTGTCCCCAGTGCTGCTCCACACTGCCACTGCCAATGGCTTCCAGATGGTCACCAGCGGGGTCCAGAGCAAGGCCTTGAGTGACTGGCTCATCACCAGCGTGGAGGTGAGTGTGAACCCTGTTCCTCTGCCGAGTCCCTGGGAACTACTGCCTCCTCCTCAGAGCCCACCCTGGTGCCTATGGTCCAGTTAGGCCCATTACAGCTGAGCATAGTGGTCTCCTCGGCCCTCTGCTTGGGCCAGGCACTGCCTTCTGTACTAATGGGGCTTCTGTGGGCCCAAATTCCCAGGGACTTATACCACATGGTGCCAGGCTGCTTGGCAATGCCCCCCATGTCACTGTGCACACTCTGGTAGAAGTTGGGGTGCAGTCACTCCTCCTCTCCCACACCAAGTGAGTCTGCCTTAGAGCTGTTTGTCACACATAATCAGTTGAGCCCTGGCCGGTGTCCTTAGTGTAGGTCTTGGCCTGCACACCGAAGGGTTGCAGGTTTGATTCCCAGGCAAGGGCATGCACCTGGGTTGCAGGTTCGTTCCCAGCCCTGGTCGAGGTGTGTGTGGGAATAAACCAATCAGTGTGTCTCACATTGATGTTCTCTTCCTCCCTCCCTTCCACGTTCTCTAAAAATCATGGGGGGAATATCTGCTGAGCATTAACAGAAAAACAAAGTCAATCAAGAATCCCACTTCTTTCTGTAATTTCCCTTGAATTTCTCTCAAATTTCAGAGCGTCACTCAAGGACATCCAGGCTGAGGCCTGGAGCCAAGTGAAGTGGCAGTGAGGAGAGGACTCAGATTCCTGCAGAGATTGAGGGGGAGTTTGGGGGGTGGCAAGGCAGCTAGCAGGGCTGATAGGCTGATTCAGGATAAGGGGAGGCTGCTGCAGCCTCTGAGCAATTGATACAATAATCAGATGAATACGTTTTTTAAGCTGCATAAGAGATGGTGGTGATTTGGACAGAGAAAACTGTACTGGCCAGAGTCCTTGTTATCATACTCCCAGGGGGTCACAGCAGATGGAGCCATTGTGGGTCTGGTGGGTCCCTCTCGCATTAAAAAAAACTTTATTATTGATTTCAGAGGGGAAGGAAGAGGGAGAGATAGAAACATCAATGATGAGAGAGAATCATTGATTGGCTGCCTCCTGCAACCCAACACTGGGGATCAAGCCTGAAACCCGAGCATGTGTCCAGACTGGGAATTGAACAGGTGATTTCCTGGTTCATAGGTTAATGCTCAACCCCTGAGCCTCGCCAGTCGGACCCCTCTCACATTTGAGGCTCTGTTCCAACCTGCCAGCATGGTTGCCATGGTCTTTGGTTCCGCCATGAGTCCTCTGCCATTCCTGTTCTTCACGTGGGAAGCAGGGGGCAGGGAGGAAGTGGGGTGCTTGGCCTCCCTCCCACTGTCCGCAGCCAGTGCTGGGACCTGCAGTGGGGCTCGTAGGGCTCCTTTCCTGGCTGCACCATTTCTCCTTGTCAACAGGGCTCTGCCCTTCAGAACAGTGGCTTGGAGTGCGGCCTTTGAAGGGTGGGCTTGGTGTCCAGGGAGAAGCACACTCGGAAGATCGAGCAGATTCCTGTAGCTAGAGCTGTGGTCAGCAAACTGCAGCCCTTGGCCAAGCCTAAAGCCTAGCCGTCAGCCTATTTCTACAAAATTTCATCAGCACCTGGCCACGCCCATTCATTCACAGGTCACCCACAACTGACAAGTTATGACAGACCATAGAGCTAGCAAAGCTAAAATTACTCTCCTTCCCCGTCCTTCTGGGTCGGGTAGCCTAGGCTGTTCTGGGGGTCAGAACCCCAGCTGGCTGCCGCCTCACAGATTGTCTCTCCGCAGGGACGGCTGACGGGCCTGGGTGGAGAGGACCTGCCCACCATCGTCATTGTGGCTCACTACGATGCCTTTGGAGTGGCTCCTGTACGTATACGCTCGCCTCAGAGGAGGGGAGGGGGTGCCTTCCTCCCGCACTGCTCAGTCGCTCCGAGGCAGAAGCGGCTGTCTATGGGCAGCAGCTGTGGGCAGAGGAGCAGCGCCCACTCTGGAGCCCTTTAGGCACTGCCTCAGCTCCTCGAGGACCCTGCAGGGTGGGTGTCATCTTCCAGCTGAGACAGGCGAACCAGGGTGGGTCTCGTGGAGAGGGTTCCATTGCAGATGGGTGGCTGGGTCGGTATTAGAGTCCGGCGTGTCTGTTAGGGTCTCCAAGAGGCTCCGTCAATAACTCACCCAGGACTCAGCAGATGGTTGTCCTCAGGGCAGTAGTTCATACAGAGACAGTACTGAGCCCAGAGCAAAGCACTTGAGGCCGTCGGGGTGGGTACCTGGCACAGCTCCCAGAGTCCACAGTGTTCACCTATTCCTCCAAAACAAGATGTGACCATGCATGTGAGGTGCAGTCCGCAGGGGCTCACAGAGACCCAGTGCCCAGAGTTCTCACTGGGGACCCATCATACAGGCCCTTCTGCCTGGCAAGTACGAGATCCAGACTCCGGAGGAGAGCATGTGCACAGCATGAGTCATGTGTTGGCACAGACAGGTTATGTCCAGGAGCCCCTATCAGTGAGGGTGGTGGGAGCCCCCAGAGTCGAGTTCCAGACGTTGCCCAGGGCCGGCCTTGCAGACCAGCCTCTCTGAAGAGAGAAGTCTGAGGTGCGCTTAGCCCTCCTGCAGGCAGCAGGCATGCCTGGGCCACCTGTCCCAGCTCCCGGCATGGCGACACTGGGCCAGAGTGTAAATCTCCTTCCTTTGACAAGAAAGTCCTACTTTGGAAGAACAGCCAGCTGAATCGAACAGGAGCTGCTAGTGGTGGTTCTGCAGCCTTGTGTGAGCTTTTGACTGTGCCACCGACCAGTGACAGCTGTTCCGGGGCCACACCACCTGGAAGGCCAAGGCCATCCTTGAGAACACCTGGATCAGCCAGGGCCCAGAGACAGGCTCCTAGCAGTTAGAACAATGCTTCTCAGCGTGTTCATTATTCCTTTGTAGACACTTTTGTCCTAATTTCTGCCTGAAATTAAAAACACTTAAAAAAAAATATATAACTCCATAATGCAAAATTCACTTTTAAAAGCATACAGTGGTTTTTAATATAGTCACGAGGTTGTATAATAGGGGTGTCGAACTCAATCAGAGAAGGGGCCAAAATCTAAAATCCAGCCTAAATCGCGGGCCGAATGGTTTACTGAATAGTCATAAACTGTCATTGTGATGGAAACGCAGCGGAGTGCAGTGATGACAGCGCGGTGCAGGCCACATTGCAAGGCCTGGCGGGAAGGATTTGGCCTGCGGGCCTTGTGTTTGACACATGTGTTGTATAACCATCTCCACTCTCTAATTCCAGAACATTCCATCATCCCCACCCCTATTAGCAGTCTGGACGTTTCACATAAATGGAATCACACACTCTGTGTCTGGCTCTTCCTGAGCATCATGGTCCTTTTCCCCATGAATTTTACTTCTGTTGATACACTGTGTGTTGGTTAATGGACTGTGGCCTGCGGAGAGTCCTGAGCCATTATGGAATCCAAGATTTTTTTCTTTCCCCAAGAAACTGTCATGCCCCATTGGAGGACTGCTTTCAGTCGCAGAACCCAGATGAGTTGAGGGAAGGTGCAGAGGGCTGGTGGTCTGGCAGGAGGGAATCTGCTCCAAGCCCCCCCGCTAGTGAAGGGAGTGAGGGTCCAGGTGCAATGCTGAGGCTGCTGGTGGGGGCAGCCCTGGTGGCACAGCTCTGCCCGGCACAGGGCAGAGTTGCAGTGGGCAAGGAGGCTCAGAGTAGCATCAGTGTTCGGGCGCTCATCCCTGAGGACTTCGAGGTGCTGTCAGTCTGGGCTCTAAGCAGAGGAGGGGAGCCATCCCAGGTCTGCTGTACATGTGGACTGGGGACAAGGCTGCACAGGCAGAGTGCTGCAGGAGGAGGGCAGTGAGGCGCCATGCGTGGCTGGTGGGGGGTGACGGCTGGTCTTGTCTTGCTCGTCCACAGTGGCTGTCACATGGCGCAGACTCCAACGGGAGCGGCATCTCTGTGCTGCTGGAGCTCGCCCGCCTCTTCTCCAGGCTGTACACCTACAAGCGCACCCATGCTGCGTAAGTGATGGCCGGGAGGGCGGGCTGAGGGCCAGGTGGGCCACCTGCTGATGGTGGCCCAGGTGCAGTTCCAACCCCAGGAATAAGTGTCTGTATTGAGGGCTATCATAGGCGAGGCCCCTCCCACATTCATCCCCTGGAATCCGGCCCAGGAGTTGGGGATGCTTTCAGCTGTAAGTAGTAATAGAAACATCTAAAACAGTCACTTACACTAGTGTCCTTCTCTTGCCACTGTGGACGCTGGGCTGGGCTGCTCTTGTTTATTCGCCCACACATCACGCTGCCCTGGGGCAGAAAGGGGCTCAGCGAGAGTGTCCGTCTCCTAGAGCTGTTGTCACCAAACACCGCACATAGTAGCTAAAATAGCAAACAGTTATGCTCCCAGTTCTGGAGACCAGAAGGCCGAGATCAAGTTGTCACAGGCCATGCTCCCCACTAAGGCTCCGGGGCAGGGTCCTCCTGCCTTCCCACCTCCTGGGAGCTGCCTGCAGTCCTCAGAATTTCTTGGCTGTGGCTGTGTAACTCCATCTGTCTCTCCTTCCTCAGATGCCCCCTCTCTTTTCTCTCCTACAAGGACTGCTGTGGCCCTGGTGGGAGGGGTATGTGGAGGGTGAGGGAGGCCAGGGATACGGTCTTTAGTGGCAGCCCTGGCTTTAATCCTGCTTCAGGAAGAGCAGTGCTGATTCCTTTCACCTGTTCTTTCTGGGTTTGTTTCCTCATCGGTTGAGACCAGGTTGTCTCCTGGTTTTGAGAGCTCAGAGAAGCCTCTGGAACAGCGGTTCCCCCCTAGGTGACCCACCTAGGGGATACTAGACTGTCTGAGGGCGTCTGTGGCTGTCACACCTGGGCATGCTCCTGGCATCGAGCGGATGGAAGCCAGGAATGCTGCTCAGTGCACCGGAGTGCCAAGGGCCGTCCCACACAGGGATGGCCCGGTGCTGATCCGGAAGTGGGCAGTGCGAAGCCCTGCCCTAAGGGCTGGCCAGGAATTGGCACTTGGGGGAGACCACCTCCTCCTTGTTGAGGCCTTGGACACTCATCTGCCAAAGCTGACACCTCTCCTCCCCCCATCAGGTATAATCTCCTGTTCTTTGCGTCTGGAGGGGGCAAATTTAACTACCAGGGGACCAAGCGCTGGTTAGAAGACAACCTGGACCACACAGGTTAGTGGCCCCAGCTTTCCCGCTGTGTGGTCAGGGGCCCTGGTCCCCCCGACCCTGGCCAGCCCCTGCTGTTCCCGCAGATTCCAGCCTGCTCCAGGACAACGTGGCTTTCGTCCTCTGCCTGGACACCGTGGGCCGGGGCAACAGCCTGCACCTGCACGTGTCCAAGCCGCCCAGGGAGGGGACGCTGCAGCACGCCTTCCTGCGGGAGCTGGAGATGGTGGGTGATTCCAGGCCAGTCACGTGCCCATTTCACAGGCAGGCCCCCGGAGGCCCTGACAAGGGCAGCGGGGTATCACAAGGACTCGGGGGCAGATGGGATATCTGCGCTCTGTCCCCTGTTAGCTAGTGTTCACTAACAGCCAGCCATCAGAACAGGCGCTTTGCAAACCCTGGGACCTTGAGTGAGCCTCAGTCGGCTTCCTGGGAGGCAGTGGGTTTTCCCCCATTTCTAAATGTGGGAGGTTTGGGCAGGGACAGGGAACCCTTTGGCTCAGGATCCTGTGAACTTTTGTAGAATGAGCTCCGTGCGAGATGTCCCTCTGCAGACTTGTTGGGTGTGGCCGGGACCCCAGGGCAGCGGGTGGACTCCCTGACCCTGCCGTTCCACACAGGTGGCTGCTCACCAGTTCCCGGAGGTGCGCTTCTCGATGGTGCACAAGAAGATCAACCTGGCAGAGGACATCCTGGCCTGGGAGCACGAGCGCTTCGCCATCCGCCGGCTGCCTGCCTTCACCCTGTCCCACCTGGAGAGCCACCGCGACGGCCAGCGCAGCAGCATCATGGACGTGCGGTGAGTGCGGCCCCAGGCCTCCCACTGTGTCTCAGAGCTGTCTTTCTGTCTGGGTCCTACGAACAAACCCCATTCTTCCCGGGGGGGGGGGGGGGGGCTGGCAGTAGACAGGGATGCTGGAGGGAGCAAACCTGCCGTGTGGGCTGGGGGGTGGGGTGGCAGTAGTCTGGCAGCTCAAGAAACAGCTGGCTCCTCTGTGCTAACTCAGCGTGCGGGTGCTGGGGACAGGGACACAGCAAGGGCTTCCCCCCACCTCCAGCCCCTACGCATGACTTTTAGACCCTGAGCACCTGTGGCTTCTGCCCGCAGGCCTTTGCATGGCTGTGCTGCTGCCTGGCGAGCTGTGCCCTGTCTCCCTGGCCCCTCATGCTTCCTTGGGAGCCCTCCCCACCTACTTCTTTCTCACTCTTCTCTCTGACGCGGCTACCTCTGGCTTCCGTTGTTTCACATCCCATTAGTTCCCCCTGCTAGCATGGCAGCCCCCAGTGGGGATGGGGGTATTGGGAGCCAAACCCCGAGCCTGGGACAGTCTGCCTGTGCCCTCTCATTGGCCAACCCTGAGCAATGTCCTAGTCCCTGGACACACATCAGCTGGGGGAAAGTATGAGTGGTCCTGGATGGGTCTCAGCCCAGCCTGGTGACAGGCAAGACCCAGAGAGTGAGAACAGGCAGGCACAGCGGGAGCATCGGCTGGTCCGGGGGCTGGAGGGCTTCTTGGAGGAGGTGGCACTGAAACTGAGGGACATGAGTCAGGAGCAGAGTGTTCCAGGGCAGAGGAAGCTGAGAGCAAAGGAGAGTTGGAGGGAAAGAGGAATAGAGCCCGGAGAGTGAGTTTAGCCACCTCCCCCTGCTGCTCTCCTGTCCCAGAGGGTCCCAGCATCTCACACCCACTTGGATCAGTGGCAGTTTGCCTCCAGCGTTCCTCGTTTCGGGCTGTGTTGCCCATAATCCTTGGTGTCCCTTGGCTTGTGACTGCATCACCCCAATCTGTGTCACTTGTCACAAATTTTCCTCTTGTAAGGACATTCGCCATTGGACGTAGGGCCACCCTACTGTAGTGTGACCTCATCCTAACTAATCACATCTGCAAAGATCCTACTCCAAATCAGGTCATGTTCCCAGGTTCTGGTGGGTGTGAATTTGGGGGGCATATTGGATCCTAAGTGCTTGGTGTGAACTGCCTTCAACAACCTATGCAGGCAGGTCCTCTGACCACCCACGTTCCAGATGAGAAAACTGAGGCTCAGAAAGGTCCAGTCCATTCAGGCAGACACAAGGAGCCAGGCATGATTCTCTGAACCTGCAAATAACTCCCAAGGGTGTGGGCAGCCTTTCGAGGAGGGCAGGGTCCCCCTCAATTTTAAAGAAGAATCTGAGGTGTGGAGAGGTGCCCGCCCTGTCCAAGGAGACTGTTTCTTTTCTTATTTTTATTATCATTAGATACACGGTTGCTCTTGATTTTGGGTAATTATAAATGATGCTGATTCCAAATATATATAGATTTACCCCCCCCCCCCCCCCCAATCTGCCCCAAAGGTCCCGGGTTGATTCTAAAACCCTGACCCGCAACACAAGGCTCATTGCAGAGGCCCTGACTCGAGTCATCTACAACCTGACTGAGAAGGTGAGACCCCCCCCCCCCGCCCCCGTGGCTGCAGGCCCTCCATCCAGTGCACCGGTGGGTCGGGACTGAGAGCCTGTCCCTTCTTCTTTGCAGGGGACGCCCCCGGACATGCCCGTCTTCACGGAGCAGATGGTAACCGCTGGGCCGGGTGGGCAGGGGCCTGGGCCAGTGGGAGGAAGGGGTCCCTTGACCATGGCCATGTCCCTCGCAGCAGATCCAGCAGGAACAGCTGGACTCGGTGATGGACTGGCTCACCAACCAGCCCCGGGCTGCCCAGTTGGTGGACAAAGATGGCACGTTCCTCAACACACTGGAGCACTACCTGAGCCGCTACCTGAAGGAGGTGAAGCAGCACCACATCAAGGCTGACAAGCGGTGAGGCGCAGACGGCCCGCCCCGCACAGGCTCAGGAAGCATGCTCTTCTAGTCTTCTGCACCTCCCCCAGTGCCAGGCTGACAAATAAATAAAACCCTGGATGATAAGTTAAATGATAAGTAAAAAATTACAGGGTACTAGTTAAATTTGAGTTCCAGGTAAACAGCAAATTGTTTTTAGTATAAGTGTATCCCATGAAATGTTTGGGTATACTTTTCCCCAAAAGCCTATTCCGCATTCATCTGCATGCACAGAGAACACATGTCCCGTGTTTTACCTGGTAGCCCTGTCCTCCACCCTCCCTCTGGGCCTTTCGTGCTCCAGGCATCGGGTGGCTCGTACCCCGTCCCTGTCTGCCCGCAGGGTGCTCCTCCTCACCGTGGGCCCCCTGAGTTTTGTCTTCTTTCTGCTCAAGGCTCCCCAGCTCCCCAGCTGCACTGAGCAGGCACCTCAGGGGCCGTGATAGGAGAGGCACCTGTGGGTGTCCATGGGCAGGAGGTGTCCCCAGACTGCTCATGGCCCTTGCTGGCCTCCATCTTCCGTCCGAGTCATGGCACTCCCTGAAGCAGAGCGCTTCGAAGAAACGGGGGCTCAGAGTGGATTCCAGCCGAAACGAGGGTCTCTGCTTCTTGGGCCATGGTCCCCCACCCTCTATAGCAATACTTCCGAGGCCAGTGAACTTCCTACAGTCCCTGGATTCCATTTTAAAAGATTGTTTCAGCACCAAAACAGCAGTGGGGAAGGTGGTATTTCAGAATAAAGGACTGCCCTTTCCCAGGAGGAATAGTGGCAGCCTCGAGGAGACACACAGAGGGTGCTCCCTGCCCTGTCCCTGGGCTGTGGGACCTCCGGGTGGACTGGTATCTGGGGGCCGGCTGTCGGGGCGAGTCCACTGAGAACCCACTCTCTCCTAGGGACCCCGAGTTTGTCTTCTACGACCAGCTGAAGCAGGTGATGAATGCCTACAGGTGAGCTGCTCTGGACCAGGAGTCCTGTCCCCTGGGTTACCTGCCATCCAGGGGACTGTGGTCCACAGGACAGCCAGAGGGTGGCCAGTCCCTCCTCCTCCCTTGACCTCTAGCTCCTCTTTCTCCAGGGTCAAACCAGCCATTTTTGACCTGCTCCTGGCAGTCTGCATCGGCGCCTACCTCGGCATGGCCTATACCGCGGTCCAGGTGAGCTCACAGGGCGCAGGTGGGAGGGCGACCTGGCCAGGTGAGTTCTTGCCTCCATCCTGCCTAGAAGCATGTGGACTCCACAGTCTGGGCCTTCCTTGGTGGGATTTGTCCCTGCTCTCATTCCTGAACTCACTTGCACCCTCCCACTGCCTCCAGCACTTCGACCTCCTGTACAAAACAGTTCAGAGACTACTCCTGAAGGCCAAGACGCAGTGACGAGGCCCTGCCAGCACCATGTGCCCCTGCCCGCCACCCTCACCACCACCCCTGGCCTGCAGGGGCTCACCAAACCCCCGAATTACAGAGCTTTTCTGTGTTGCTCTTGAGGATTTAGGGGGTTCTTTCTCGTTTTTGTCTTCGAACTCCCTTGGAGGAGCATTTGGTAGAGTTTGGGGCCAGACCACGGACTTGGGAACAAGCGGTGGCTGAGCCTCTGGCCCGGGAGATGAAAGGAAGTTGCCCGGCACAGCCTTGGGCTCGCTCTGCTCGTGATGCCGCCACGGCTGGCACTGGCTCTGCGTCTGCCTCCACGCTGCCTCCACCCCCCTCAGTGTCTCGGATGCTCTCTTCATGTTGGTCTGAAGAGGGCAGCACCGGCCTCTGGGTCCCCAGCTTGTAGCTCCAGCCTTGGAATGTTATGTCTCCCTCCCTGGACCAGGGCTGAGGCTCATGTCTCCCAGAACCCCACTGGACAGTGGAGCCCTGAAGACCTGGAGGCCCCCGCCTCTCTCTCGCCTTCCTGCAGGGCCCCTGCGCTGTTCTCGTCACGGGCTTCTCTGCCTCTGCTCCCTTTCACTGCGCCCTAGGGAATGCCAGCATTTCCCCAGGCGTCTTCTCTGTTGGCTCCCAAAGGGAAACCGGGTGCCTTTGGCGGCCCCAGGCTCCAGAGGCAGTCCTCAAGGAGGCCCTGGAGGAGAGGCCCTGGCCCCTCTGCACACTCCCTTCTTAGCCCAACTGAGCCGTTTCCTCATCTGAAAAGGAGGGTGTGGTGTGAAACCATGTTGGGGCCTGGTGGGGGTTGTCAGGGCAGAGTGTTGGCTGCAGAAGATGCATCAGTAGGATCCAGAGGGGGAAAGTGTGGGCTCTGCAAGCCTCACCCAAGCCCGCAGTCTACAAACCAGGTGCCTCAGGGGCGTGAGCTTCTCTCCTGGTGGAGAGGAGGCTTCCAGCACTGGATGGACCTCAGGGAGATGCAGGTGTATCAATTCAGAGCAATATAATCAAGCAAGTGTTAGATGCTAAGGGGAGGGTCAGGACCAGGGAGGAGGGCTCCAGCCTCACCATGGAGGACTGAAGTGGTGTAAAGGGGCAAAAGGACCGGCTCTCCCCTCCCCACCCAGCCTGCTGTTGCCTCTTCCCCACAGCCCGCCCGCAGGAGGGACTGTCTGGGCTCTTCTGAGGGCTCTTGTCTGCCTCCATCTCCAGCCTCCCACCTTTGCCAAAGCAGTCCCTCAGAATGTCTGGCCGTCCTGTTCTCCAGCCTTCCGGGCCCCTGGCTGTTGGCTAAGTCGGGCCTCGGGAGAGGTCAGCGTGGGGGCCACAGGTTCTGCCTCGTTCCTCCTCCACCCTTCCTGGAGGGCTGTCTGCTTGACCACCTCTGGGGGCTCATGCTACAAGATGAGAAGTTGGATAGGGCGGGAGGGGGGAACTCATCTTTGCCCACATGGGACTGACCGGTGCGCCGTCTGGGATTGCCCAGCTAGTGCCCTCCTCCCCAGGTGGCTCCGGCCACTGTTCAGAGCTCAGGCTGGATGTGGGACACAGTCGGATGATCAGAAAATAAAGCCATATCGAACATTCAGCCTCATTGTCTGTCTGGGGGTGGGGCAGGCTGATTCTGAGGCTGTGAGGGGTTCTGTCAGGGCTCCCAGCGTCTGGCGTTCCTTGGGTTGTGGACCATAGCTCCGGTCTGCCTCCATAGTCCTATTGAGTGTCCTCTGGACGTGTGTGTGTCTAACATGGGTACTGTCATTGGATTCAGGGCCCACTCTATTCTAGTACAACCTCATCTCAACTAACTGCATCTGCAAAGGCCTTTTTTCCAAATAGGTTTCATTCTGAGGTTTCCAGGGTTATAAATTTGAGGGGACAGCATTCTGCCCAGTATGGGGGGAGGGGCACCAGGCTGTGTGGAGGCCCCCCCCACCCGCCAGCCCCAGCCCCTGGGAGCGTCCTGGCCTGGGCACAGCCTCTGGGACACTTGGTACAGGCTCCAGGTTTGTGGGGTGCGGTTGCTCCAGACATGGGGGAAGAGGGCTGGGCCATCTCTCCTCTCCCCTGCCGTCCCCCTTACTATGGCTGGAAGGTGACTTTGGCCTCATCATGAACTCTGATAAAAAAAAACAAAAAACAAAAACCCACATTTCAGAGGAAAGGCCAGCCCATTACCTTCTTATATTAACATAAGCTGATGTTTCCTTTTTTAAAATAACAAGTTCCACTGATTGTAACCAAGAAGACGAAAACCACCAATAGCCCAGCTGGCAAAGATGGCTGCCCTCATGCTCGTGTGTGTTCATCGTGTTTCCCAGTGTGTGTGGGTGTATGAGAATATAAGTACATGCAATCTCAGTTTTTAAGTAATTCTCTTTAAATAGCTCTTTGCAGACATAACGGGAATGCAGTGAGAGGGGCACACGGGCGCTTTGTCTCTAAAGATGTTATAAGATAGCAGTGAGCCAAGGCGGGGCTGCTGTCAGCTCACTAAAGCGCTAGAGAAAAGGAGGCCTTGGAGTCAGGGGTTAGCCCAGGACGAGCTGCCACTGCCCACTGCTCCCCCAGTGGCACCTGGAAGCCGTCACCACACTGAGGTGAACATTTCCCTGCTCCCTTCTGCAATCTCCCTGTGCCTACTTCCCAGGTGGCCACTGGTCATGTCACTACATATTGCCTCATTCAGCTGTGAAGTGTGAAGTCAACCAGTGTCTCCCTCCTTCCCCCCTCCCCCCATGGCCAGAACAAGAGTCCCTGTTCCAGCTACCCTGGGGCCGTGGTTCACTGGGGAATTGGGTAAAAGTAGCTGGGGGTGGACAGTGATGGCCGCCTGAGGTGATTTGGAGTGAAATCAGAATGGCAAGAAGGATTAAGCTGTGTGGAAATCCGGATTAGTGTCCTGACAGAGGGCACAGTCCATGCAAAGGCCCTGGGGCAGGATGGTGCTCAGTAAGTTAGAGGAACTGTGAGGAGGCCCGTGTGGCTGGAGGAGAGGCAGGCTACTGGTAGGATCTTGGTGAGGTGTTGGCATTTTATGCTGTGTGATGGGGAACAGGAGAGGGGGTAGCCCAAGGAGAGGAACATAGGCCTGACTTGTATTTGGAAAGGTCACTGGCTCCCCAAGGACATAAATGAAGATGAAATGAGATCAGGCCATGCGTGCCGGACGTGAGAGATTGTTCCTTGGGCTCCCTTGGTGCCCATGATCACCTTAAGTCCCCGTCAGCCCTGGGTGGCAGCAAACAGTTTGGCCAAAACCATCTTATGAGGAGGGTATTGTACCTTCCACTAGGACCCCACGGGGGTCCCAACCAGAGTCTTGGATGTCTTCCAGGGGTCTTTGTTTAAAAGACAATAAGACACAGCCGAAGCCGGTTTGGCTCAGTGGTAGAGCGTCGGTCTGTGGACTGGAGGGTCCCGGGTTCGATTCTGCTCAAGGGCATGTGCATTGGTTGTGGGCACATCCCTGGTGGAGGGTGTGCAGAGGGCAGCTGGTCGATGTTTCTCATCGACGTTTCTGCCTCTCTATCTCCCTCTCTGCAAAAAAATCAATAAAATATATTTTTTAAAAATCAATAAAATATATTTAAAAAAAGACAATAAGACATCATCTGTCTCTCCCCCATCTGCCCAAAAGTATAGCTCAGTGTCCATATCCTTGTCATTGTTTTTAAAATTCTTTAAAAAACAGTTGTCAATGATTTTAGAGAGAGGTAGGGGGAGAGAAAGAAACATTGATGTGAGAGAGAAACCGATCCGTTGCTTCCCATGCACACCCTGACCAGGGATATCAAACCTGCCACTGGGCATGCGTCCTGACGGGGAATAGAACCGGCAGCCCTTTGGTGCTGGGACAACACTCAGCCAACTGAGCCACAGGCCAGGGCTCCTTGTTCTTTAAAAACCGTGATTATGTACATATTTATGAATACACGGGACAATATTCAGCATTTTTTTTTCTGTATGGCTTAAGCACTTTATTTAGATAATATACTGTCCTTACCTTGCATTTTAATCTCTTTTTTAAAAACTTCTAAAACAGTTTTATGGACCACTAATCGAATACAATCAAAATAACAGATTCCCCAGTCACAAATTTTTCTTATAACTGTGGCTGAGATGCCCAGGAACTCTTGTTTATATCAGTTAGCCTGTAATAAACTGGTTTTATTGTATGTCATTTCGCTAAAGTCACAGAACTTATTGATTCACTAAGTGAGGACTTGACCACAATTTGTTACCAATTCAGAAGCTGAGGGACATTTAGGTTGTCTCCAAATTTCAGCTATTGCCAATAAGCTGCTATAAACATATAAATTGAATGTATGGACATTTGCTTTTTTTCTCTTGGGTAAATACCTAGGAGTGGAATGGTTGGGTCACATTCTGGGTTTCTACCTTTTTTCCGAAGATAATTGTGTCATTTTATGTTCCAGCCACCAGTACCTCCACATCCTTGCCAACATTCGGTGTGGCCAGTCTTTTACATTTTAGCCATTCTTATAGGTGAATAGTGATATCTTATTGTTTTAATTTGCATATTCATATTGACTGATGTTTTCATATTTGTATTTGTCATCCACGTCTTTGGTATGTTTTTGGTGACATGCCTGTTGAAAGCTTTTGCCCTTTGTTTATGAATTTTCTTAATTATTAAGTTTTGAGAACTTTTTTATATATACTAGATACAAGTCCTTTTTCAGCTATATCTTTGTAAATATTTTTTCCCAATGTGTGGTTTATCTTTGCATTGACTTAAGTATCTTTCAAAGAGCAAAAGTTATTAGTTTTTATCAAGTGCAGTATATCAATTTGTTCTGTTATGAATTATGCTTCTGGTGTCATGCTTAAGAAATTTTTTCCTAACCCAAGGTCACAAAGATTTCTTTGTTTACTTCTAAAAGTGTAATAGTTTTAAGTTTTATATTTTAATCTATGATCCACTTTGTGCTATTTTTAAAAATATGTTGCAGCCCTAACCAGTTTGGCTCAGTGGATAGAGCATCAGCCTGTGGACTGAAGGGTCCCAGGTTCGATTCCAGGCAAGGGCATGTACCTTGGTTGCAGGCACATCCCCAGTAGGGGGTGTGCAGGAGGCAGCTGATGGATGTTTCTCTCTCATCGATGTTTCTAACTCTTCCTCTCTGTAAAAAATCAATATATATATATATATATATATATATATATTTTTTGCAAAATACGGAACAAGTTTAGATTTTTACATATGAGGTCCAGTTGTTCTAGCACCATTTGTTGAAAAATACTAGCCTTTCTCCTCTGAATTGCCTTTGCACTTTTTTGAACATCAATTAGCCAATGTGTCTGGATCAATTTCTGGACTACATTCTATTCCATTGATCTATATATCTATCCTTTCACTAATGCCACACGTTTTCTTGATTTTTAGAGAGAGAGAGAGAGAAGAAGAGAAAGGGAGAAAGAGAGAGAGAAAGAGAGAGACATTGATGTGAGAGAGCAACATCAGTTGGCTGCCTCCTGTACGCACCCTACTGGGGATCAAGCCAGAAACCCGGGCACGTGCCTTTGACTGGGAATCAAACCGGCAACCTCCTGGTGCACAGGATGATGCCCAGACGATGAGCCACATCGGCCAGGGCAGTACCACAGTGTTTTGATCACTGTGGCTTTCTGAATAAGTCTTGAAATTTGGTAGTGTGAATCCTTCAACTTGGGTCTTTTTCAAAGTTGTTTTGACTATTCTAGGTCCTTTGCACTTCCATATGAATTTTGAAATCAGCCTGTCAATTGTGTGTGTGTGTGTGTGTTTTAAAAAGCCCTGGATTTTTTTTTTAAGCCTTAATTTTCATTGGGATTGCAAGGAATCCACAAATCAGTTTGAAATGAACTGACAGGTTACCAATTGCAATGGTTAATTTTCTGTGTTAACTTGACTAGGCTATGGTGCCCAGCTGTTTGGTCAAATATCAGTCTAGATGTTGCTTTAAATGCTTTTATGGGTTTCACTTACACATACACCAAGCCTTTCACTGCTGTACAGTAGTCCATCTTCAGAAGGGACCTTGAACTGTCCACCCAATCCTCTGCTGATGGGCACACTGCTCGTACCTAACTTCCCACCACCTTAACCCTTTATCGGTGAATCTTGGCACACGAAGAGGGAGTGTGTTTAACCCAAGGTTAGCAAACTGTCACCTGTGGCCTAGCCTGGCCCTCTGCCTGTTGTAAGTAAAGTTTTATTGGCACACCGCCACACCCACTCAGTTGTGTATCGTCTGTTGCTGTTTTTACACTGCAAGGGAAGGACTGATCCGTTGTAGCAGTGACTATGAAGATGGCCAAACCCCAGATGCTTACCACCTGGCTCTTCACAGGGAAACTCCACACCCTGGTTTTCCTTCTCTTTCCTAGTGGCCTTTGGCCACTGCTAGACCACATAACTGATCTCTTTTGCAATGGACACACTCTTGGCTTCTTTTGACATTTCAATCTCAGTTCTGATAGTTACTATGATTTTAACTCCTCTTTTGGCCTAAAAGATCCGGAGCAAATTGAACAAGAGCTTGGGGTGGAGCACCAGGAGAAATGTTCTGAGGGTTCTGCACAAGC